AAATGATTTTTTGGGCTGTGGATTACTGATTTAAAAGTGCCCGAGGGGCTTATTGTGATTTCTGGATTTATGGATGGCTCGGGCTGCACGCCGCAGCAGTACTATGTGATATTGAGGCCGAGGGCCTGGTTGGTGCCACGAGATGGCTTATTTGCGCTTGGGCTATAGGAGCCCCTCCGGAGTCTGTACACACCCCCAGTGAGCGCCGTCGACGTAAAATATATGGTTGGCTCGGACTGCACGCCGCAGTGGGTACCTGAGTGTACCGGTATTTGCATTGCATTGCATCATTGCATCATTCCTTACCTGTTACCTGTCATGGTTCTTTCTGTACTATTACTTTATTGACTTGCCGGTCTTACTGTTAAAGGTTTGGTACTGCCCGTTATAGTTGCCTTGTGTTTTTCAGTGATTTCTTATCTTCAGTTATTATTTATGCTTATTACTCACTGAGTCGGAGTACTCACTTTACTCCCTGCACCTTGTGTGCAGATTTAGGTGCATCACAGTCTGAGGGAGGACCTGTCTAGCTGAGCAGCATTTCACCGGGAGCATCGAGGTAGCTGCATGGCGTTCGCAGCCTTGATCCTTCCCTCCTATCCCTATCTTTCATTATTCTGTTTCTTAGACAGTCTTGTTATAGGATGACACTCTGTATTAGAGGCTCGTGATCGTGACACCGGATCCTGTTTTGGGTTATGTTCCAGTATTTTTGTTGGTTTTCAGTATACTACTCCGTACCTATAGTATTTTGACAAAATGGTTTAGTAATTTAGTATCTGTGTTCGAATTCCTGAATTATCATAAGTTGAGATTTGTTGTTGAATGGTCGGGCTTGCTTAACAATGTGTTGGGCGCCATCACGACCGGGGTTTGGGTCGTGACACCAACCAATCCTAAAACACCATACGAACTTAGTCGAGCCCTCAAATCATATCAAGCAACGCTAAAATCATGAATCGCCCTCCAAATCAAACTTAAAGAACTTGAAACTTCAAAATTCTACAACCGATGCCGAAACCTATCAAACCGCGTCTGAATGTCCTCAAATTTTGCAAACAAGTCATATTCAACACTATGAACCTACTCCAACTTTCGGAATCGGGTTCCAACCCCGATATAAAAAATTCCACTACAAGTCCAAATATCCAAAAATTTAATTTTCGCCATTTCAAGCCTAAATGAGCTACGGATCTCCAAAACACAATTCGGGCACGCCTCTAAGCCCAAAATCATCCAGCGGAGCTATCAGAATCGATGGAATCCATTCCTGAGTCATCTTCACACAGTTCTGACTATGGTCCAAATCCTAAGGCTTAAGCTCCCGTTGAAGGATTAAGTGTCCCAGAACACTCCAAAAACCAAAACGAAGCCTCCCGACAAGTCACAATAGTAGAAATAGATATGGAGAAAGCAGTTAATAGGGTATCAGGGCTCTAACTCTCAAAACGACCGGCCGGGTCGTTACATATTTCTGCTTAAATAAAAGCCCGATGTATGTGTTTGCCTTTAGCATTTTCTCATATTGTACAAACACAATTTTAACAAAAAGGTCAAGATAATATGAACTGATAACGGGACAGAGTTTGTGAACTCTGTTTGTGATACTTAATTCAAAAATCTAGGAATAATACATCAAAAGATATGTGCGTACACCCCTCAGCAAAATGGTGTAGCTGAGAGGAAGCACAGACACATTTTAGAAGTCACCAAAGATATTAGATTTCAAGCCCAGATTCCCATCAACTTTTGGGGACACTGCATATTTGCTGTTGTTTATTTAATAACAGAAGAAGGTCCTCTAACAAATCAAACAACCTATCAAAGAGTCATAGGAAAGTTATTATATTTAACAGTAATAAGGCCAGACATTGCCTTTGGAGTTCAAACATTGAGTCAATTTCTTTGGTAACCAAGGAAATCTCATATGGAAGCAGCCTTGAGAATGTTAGATATGTACAAAATCAACCAGGGCAGGGCATCCTGTTATGTAGTAATTACAGCTACAACATCAGTACATATTGTGATGCAGATTGGGCAGCCTGCCTATTCACAAGAAAATCTGTTACTGGTTTCCTAATTAAAGTAGAAGACTCTATAGTATCATGGAAATCTAAGAAGCAAACTACAGTTTCTAGGAGCTCTGCAGAAGCTAAATATAGGAGCCTTGCAACAACTGTAACAGAACCGGTTTGGCTTCTAGGTGTGGTAAAAGAAGTAGACACAAAATTTAAGGCTCCAGTTAACATTTATACAGGCAGTAAGGCAGCGATACAAATAGCTGCAAATCCAGTTTTTCATGAGAGAACGAAGCACATAGAAATTGATTGTCATTTCGTAAGAGAAAAAAATACAACAAGGCCTGATCATCACCAACTATATCACTACAAAAGAGCAACCTGCTGATATTCTCACAAAAGGTCTCAATCGAGTTCAACATGAGCATCTCAAACTCCAAGCTAGGTGTACTTAACATCTTTGCTACACCTAGCTTGAAGGGGAGTGTTAAATGATACAAGGACAATAGAGTCATTTCATAAGTATTAAGTATTACTAGTTGTACAATCCGTTAGTTAGTTATAAGTAGTTATAAATAGTAGCTTTATATACGAAAGGAGGTCAGTTGATTGAATAAGAAATTAAGCTCTTTCTTCTTCTCTGTCATCTTCTTCTCTCTCTAACCGTCTACTTCTTCTTCTTGACCAAGAGTTCTTGATTAAAAATATAAAATAAGTTATTTTTGCACCTTGACCAAATATGCTATAAGTCACTTTTCAAAAATGAAAATCGGGTTAGGAGAAAATAGAAAAATAACATATGAAATGAAAGAAAGAAAAATATCTTACTTCCACGCAAGAGATTGTGCAAGGACATGAACAGAGGCCAAAAGCAATTGGTGAAAGGCCAAACATATAATGCCTCTATCCAAAAGATGATTACCATCCAATTCCAAATATTAATATATCTAATGAAGTCCTCAAATTAAAGTAATGCTGCAAAAGAAGAGGATAAAATCTCATATAATAATGCCTTTCTATCACAAATCTAATAGGATAAGAAGAAAGTGTCAAACTTATCTTCTTAATCAGCTTAAGTGGCAAACATGAACTGCACATTAATTTATTTATTCACCAAAAGCACACCTGATTTACCTAATCTCAGATCCTCCTATTATTATAATCGTTTGTAATTAGTGTTTCCTTTTGCACTTTTATGTCGATTGCTTCATTACTTATAATTTGAGATAACAAAAAAGAATTTCCCTCGATTTGAAGAATTTAATGACACAAAATAACGATCCTCTTTATTGGAAAATCAGTAGGTTACACAACTCAAAGTCTTTTAAATTTGGGAGCTTATAAGCTATTTTTTCTCTGCTTTGTGTTAATGTCCCTTTTAACTTCTGAATAAATCGTTATAGCTCGATGATTAAAGGCAATAATTTAAGAAAGTGTTTTACTTCTTGGCACTTATTTTTCCACTAATTTATACGAGGATAATGCATGCATGTACTAAAGTAGAAACAAACTCAGAAAGGAAAAGACAAAACAAATATAACAAAAATAAAAGGAAAGACTGTGGGATAGTATTTGTGGCTGACAACTAAGCAAAAAGCACTATGCAGTGCAGATTACAATTTTAAATAAAGAAAGAAGAAATCCCCCAAAGCTACTTCTGTGATCAGCTTCAAGAAACTGTTAGTTTGTTTTTGTTTGGCTGTCTAACCCCCCCCCCCCCCAACAAACCCCACCAACACCAAATTAATTACTAGCTCAATTTCAATTTATGTGAACCTGTTTCACTGAGCACGAAGTTTAAAAAATAAAGACTTTTGGAATTTGTGGTCTTAAACAAGTCAAAAAAGGGTCCAGAGTATTTGTGTGGTTATAAAAGCTTCTCATTAAGGATAGAATTGTAAGTTTAAGCCAAATTATTTTCAAATTTAGAAAGAAGTCATTCTTTTTTGAACGGGCCAAGAAAGAAATAGGTTCACATAAAGTGGAAGAAGAAATTAGAAGATAATGGTTAAATTAAAAATAAAGATAATTCAAAAAGGTATAACAGAAATAAAAGGAAAAGAGAGTGGGATAGACTAGTACTTGTGGCGAAATAGGCATGGAAGGCACTAAACAGTTTTTCTAGCTTTGCCTTCCCAATGGAACAATACCTCTTTCTTACCGAAATTATTTGTTACTCCCTCATGTCCACTTTAATTGATTTTTCAGTTTTTTTTAAAGTTCATAATATTTGATTTTTTTATATTTCAAAAAGAAATTTACTTCTTTTTTCTAAAGTTGTCCTTGGAGTAAAGAGCCTATGAGTATTTATTGTGTTTCCATTGAACAAATTAACGTCAATTTCATTATTAATTACTCCCTCCGGTCCAAAATAAGTGATTTTTGGATGTTTTCACACAAATTAAGAAATTCACCTTTTAGCATTAATTAGCAATAGAATTGACCATATTAACCTTTACTATCTCACATAAACACTCCTAACACATATTTCAACACTATTTACTTCAAGGACAATGTAGGAAAAAAATAATTAATTCATTCTTGAAATCTGGAAAAATCACTTATTTTGGACCACAAGAAAAAGGCCAAAAAATCACTTATTTTGGACCGGAGGTAGTAACAAACTAGCCATATGATTGAATGTTTGACTGACCATTTTGAGAAATAACTTTTGGAAAAAAAAAAGAGAATTATCGCAATATTCAACAAAATAAAAATCTTGGGTTCTGAAATTTTTTAGTCCAACCGAATCGACGGGATTTTGAAAATGTTTCCCTATAAAATCTCACAAAGTCATCTATACAATTCATACTTGGACTCCTAATAAAACTCTATTTCTTCTAGAATGATGCAATATCTCAATTCTCATCTCATTTATAAGCCCTTTTTATCTGTTCTAAATGATTTAATTAACTCATTACCCTAACCCCCTTTTCCCTTCTTAAAACCATTGCAAATTCATCGCATCATAGTAATTTCACAATGCCGGGATACCTCCGAAGGCCTTCACCATCACCACCACCACCAAACCCCGTCGCTCCGCCAACTCCACCTCCTTTTCCTCTTCGTCATCCTCCACCTTATGGCATCCGTTTTCCTCCTCCTCCTCCTCCTCCATTATGGCCTCCGTTTCCTGTACCACCCTATCCACAGCGACGTCCGGGAAGACCAGCTATGGTTCATCCTCCTCCTCTACCCCCAGAAATTTTGGCACTTATTATTGGACAACCACCAGCACGAGGTCCACCTCTAGTTCGACCATATTTTAATCGGCCATATGCACCTTCTCCACCTTGGAATCGTCCCCGCCACTATANACTCACTTGAATTTAATCGCATTATTAAACAATGCTTCTTACAGTGTTTCTTGCACTTTTTCTTCCCTGTGTTGGTATGAGCGTTGTTTTTCTTGTCTACATCTGTTTAGTTTGGTATGCAGCAACTTACCACCACTCTAGTACCCATCAAGATCAACCTGTGAAGCCCACAAAAGAAAATGGTCTTTCAGCTGAACAACTGGATAAACTCCCCAAAATCACAGGCAAAGACTTAGTTTTAAGCAATGATTGTGCAGTATGTTTGGAGAATATTGAAAGTGAACAATTTGTGAGATTGGTTCCTGGTTGTAATCATGGATTCCACCTTGAATGTGCTGATATGTGGCTTTTAAAACACCCCTTTTGCCCTGTTTGCAGAAGCAAACTTAAGTTAGAGCTTTTCAATGATTCTGAATGCAACCCCTGCTGAAAAAAAGTTTTTTTTTTGTGTGTATTTCTTTTTTGTTCTTTTGTTTTATTGTTTTATTAGGTTAGGTGATGAAGGGTGTCAGACCAGTGAACAGATGGTAGAGTTTCTACAAAGATGAATAGTTTGTCTACATCCACTGTCTATAAATCTTGATTATTATTGAATCTTCTACTTATTACAGTAGTAGTAAATTTTTCTTCTTTTGCTTCTTCTGTTATTCTTATTAGAGATAATTAAGTTTACTAGAGTGGTTATTTCAAGTTGTTTGTCACCAATAATTGATGCGAGATTTTTCTGGTGACTTGCCCTGCTCCGAGTCGGAAACCAAAATGTTGCTATTTTGGACTCAAAACACATAAATAGATGTAAAAAAAAAAGGTAACAAAAATATATATAGCGCCAGAAATAGTGGCGCTATATATAAACGGTAACAGCACCGTTAATATATAGCGCCACTATTTCTGGCGTTATACACTATGAGTGATATAACGCCATTATTTCTGGCGTTATACACTGACAGTGATATAGCGCCAGAAAGAGTGGCGTTATATCCTTTTTTTTCCTGACCAGTACAATAATTCAAAATAAAGCGCCAACTTATTTGGCGCTATATATGTAAAAAAAAAA